CCGTTCAGCCAGCCCGCGCGCGGGAGCCGGTTTGGACTTCCCGGCCTCCCTCGTGCCCTCGGCCCCAGTGACCCTGTCCGGCCCTCGTCGGGGGCCTGGCACCTGTGAGGACCCGCGGTGGCGGCGCCCAGGGGAAGGTGCCCCACTGTTGACCTCCTTGTCTCCAGTCTCGAGCAAGCGGGTCTCCGAGAGGAAGGAACATCCTGAGAAGGGGAGGATGGGAAGGGGTCTCTGAGAGCGGGTCTTTGGTCAGGTCCACCTTCCACATGTGTGGGATTCCTGCCTCAGTCTCGCCGTGGGCAGGGCCCGCAGGGTCCAGGGTGACCTGCCAGGCGCAGACGTGGAGTTACATAAGGAAAGATGGGGGCCCGAGCGGCCCAGCCGGGGTTTGGCGGCCAGGTGCCGGAGAAGAGCTCAGGAGGCTGCAAGCCTTGGTAGGACCCACAGCTGGACACGCCATGGGGGCGGTCATTGCTACATCGAACAGAGGTCACTGCGCTCAGGCGCAGCCAAGGAGGCATCAGCTGCGTTAGCGCCTGCGGGAGGGGGCGGGGAAGGAGAGGGGGTGGAGAGGTCCCTCCATCAGACACATGCTCAGATAGACAGGGTCAAGGACAGATGCAGCCTGAGACACTAACAGCGAGACAGACAGACACGCCCACACTCAGACAAACAGACACACACAGACCAGGGAAAACCACCCAGAGTCAGGGACCACTCTGCAGTTAGACACACACAAATCAAACAGTAGACAGCCAGGCAACAGAGCCCAGAGGGAAGTACGGCTCCCTCTGTCGCCAGCAGGACGCATCCGCAGGAGCCTCGGGCACACACTAACTGTGCCAGAGGGAGGGTGTTACAAAAGGGGAGCCACAAAGCTGCCACCCCCAGACGGGCAGTCGGAGGGGATTGCTGGACTTAGGCACACACGCACAGACACCTCCAGACTTCCAGCAGTTCCTGATCATGGGGCCCACCCCTCCCCCAGTCTCAACATATGCTTCAGAAACTTTGGAACTTTGGGGGCTGGGCTCCTCTCTGCACCCCAGAAACCTTTGGCTTTCCCAGTTCCAGCGGATCCTCCTCCAGGGAGCCCTCTTTGAGGCCTGCAACCCTGCTGAGCTTCCCAGTCTCCCCATAGCATCTGGATTTACCTGGCGGTGGGACAGGGATGCTTAGTTCTGGGAGCTGGCCAGCAGGCGTGGTTGGGCCCCCATGTCCCTAGCATCCTGAAGCCTTCACGACTGGATCTGAACTTCTGGTACCCCACCCTCAGCCAGCAGCTCCCTGCTTTGTGGGTCTCCTGCTCTTCCCCAACCACCCTGGGTAATGGGGTCACCTGGGGCCTCGGGAGGTGGGATTGGATGAGGAGTGAGACAAGAGCTCTCTATCACCATCTGGGAGCTCTGTCTTCACCCTGCATCCCCATCCTGGCATGATGGATTCCATAATGCCAACTGCTTAGGGGAGTGGGTGGGGGTCCTCAGCTGCCATCCTGGGACTATTATTCCAGAGTGTAGAATCTATTAAAGGATTCAGGAACACTGACAAACACTGTGGCCTGTGCTGATATTGAATTGTCAGTGGAATGTTCTAGAGGAGAGGTCAGATGGGTATCGGGGTTTGGGTGGGAGGAGTTTGTCACTAGCATTAGGTCAGCAGTGTGTGTCGTCTCAGGCATGGGACTGCCTGTGTCCCACCTTGATGACCACACTTTTCTCCCTTGAGCTGCACACTGTCATTATGGTGCTGCCCTGCTATGCAGGGACGTGGCCTACTTATGAGGAGGAGTATCTGGGGGCTGCAAACTCCACTTACTTGTCATGCCAAGACAGCTTCCTGGGTCATCTGTGGGCTTCTGGGTCCAGCCAAGGAGTCACCTCAGAAATGGCTGTTTTCCTTCTCTCTCTCTGCAAGACTCATTTGAATATGGGAGCACAGAGTTGTTTTTTCCTTGTCTTTTTTCTCCGTGACATTCTGCACCAGCTCTGGGTGCATCCTGATGAGCTCAGGACTGAGGGTAACCAGGATGACTTGCTAGGCCTGGGTTTGGGGGAAGGAGACAGAGTTGGGTCTGGGTACACGAAGCAGGCAGAAGAGTAGAGGAGAAGGTGAGGTCTTGTCCTGATTCCCAGAACTGCATCTCCATCCTGAGTGCACACTTGCTGTGATTTGGCTGCAGGTAGCAGACACAGCTCAAAAGGACCTGGAAAAAGGACTGCTCACTCTTGCCCAGGGCTGGGAAGTGGAGGGGTAAAGAACTTCAGGCATGGTTACATCCAGGAGCTCAGAGAACACTGTGCCCATTTGTTCTCTGACAGGGAGTCTCCCTCAGGCTTCTCTCCTGCCTCTCAAGAGACTTGGTCTTCTCAGGTGTGAAATGGGCATCAAGAGCCATGAATGGCCCTGAGGGCTTGATAAATATATGAGTGGGTGAACTGAATTGTACCTGAGCAAGCTCCCTGCTCCATGAAGAGTGAACAGTGAAAAACAGACTATTGGAGGAAGCCGGAAAGGAAAGCCAAAACATGACCCTTTTTCACTGGGCTTTCTCCAGAGCCCTGTGCCAGACAAGCTGGGGGGAGCTGGGGGCTTCTGAACCCCACCCAACTGTGTGGGGGCTGGGCCCAAGACTGTGGGGGCTGTGGCCCAACACGCTTCCCAGACAGCAGGGCTCAGCTGATATCATACCCCTGGGAGCTGCCAGGCCTGGACAGAAGGGACAGGCTGAGTGACCCAGGGCTGGCCCTGGAACTGAAGGAAGTGACGCTGCGTACCTTGGGCAGTTTCAGCGGAGGTCAGCTGAGGGGGGCATTTGGTGGCGGGACCACAGGTGGGGCCTCTTTCCCCCACAGGGAGGGCACTTGTCCGGGACAGGGGAGGGCTGTCGCTGGTTGTGCTGCCCGCTCCATCTGGGGGGTGAAGGGGAGGCCAGTGGCCATTCATTGATCCTGAAAGCCCAGCCCTGGTCCCTAAAGCCTGTCCCCATCTACTTCTGGACATGGTCTCTCAGGCCCCTTCACCCACAGGCCCCACCCTCCAGGGCTGCCCAGGTCAATCAGCTTCATGGTCTAGGACCCAGACAGTGTGCTTGGTGCACCCATGGTCCCAACTCCTGGGCCAACATACAGGACCCTAGACCCTCTTCCTCCTGGCAGGAGGCCTTTAGGAGACTGGGAGACTGTGAGGTCTCAGGGAGTTGCTCTGGGGAGGAGACAGGAGAGGCCTCCCGCTTCCAGTCTGTGCTGCAGGCCCCACTCTGTTTATGCCCTGAACCCCGGGAAGAGCTCAGGGCTCGGAGGAGGGTGATGGTGCTTATCAGCAAGGTACCAAGGAGCCCATTGCTCCGTGCTGGGACTGCCAAATCCAGTTAATGAAGATGTCCCTGGGGTCCTGGGGCGACACCTAAGGAGAGAGCAACTGTGTGCATGTGTGTGTGCCTCTGTGTGTGTGGCCCACCCCGCCTCCCCCACCCCACCCTCAGCCTACTGCTCAGCCCTACCTCTCCCTAACCCCATCACACAGTCGACCCCCAGCCAAGTCCCTCCAGTTGACAGCCCAGCCCAGGATGGAAGGAGGCCCTGTAAGGGTCTCAGGTTCTGGCGAGAAGTTCTGTGCTGGTTAAATTGAGGGTGGGGGCCAGAAGGGAGATGCAGGGACCAATCCCAGGGAATCACGCCCCCCTTCTCCCCACCCCTGCACCTTTTACAAAGACTCGCTAACACTTGGTCTCCTTTGGGCCCCACAGAACCCCAAAGACACTGGCTTGGAGGTTTCCCTGTGACTCTCAGTCACTAAATGGAGGGCCTTGATTCAGGTCTGAGCCTGGGGCTTTGTCTACCCCAGCTATCTATCTGCCTAGCTAGCCCACACCGCCCCTGAAGACTGTGTGGCGCAAAGTTGGTTTGAACCGCAAGGAGGGCTGTTCAAGCTCACCAGCTGCTCCTCGGAAACCCTATACAGGGTTGTTATGGGTCGGAACTGACTGGACAGCACTTAACAACAACACTAGTACAGCTTGGCTGAGCCTGCTAGGAGGTGCTTTGTTTCTGGGGGTTCCTTATGGAAACCCGGCCCTGAAGGTCTTCCAGCCCCGGCGTGGGGCTCTGTGCAAACTGTCTTTCTTTGGCAATGCTGGCAAAGTATTCGGCCCATGGCCTCTCATCAGCCTCTTTCTTCCCAGACCAGGTTCCACCGCCGCCTACCCACTGGCCGCCTCGGGCATTCTTGATGCAGGGACTGGAAAAATTGTCCTTGCAACCTGCTCAGGATGGCAAAAGGGACCTCAGGCCCCTTGCTCAAACATAATTAGGACTCTCAAGACAACTAGACAGAGCATTAAATTGGGGAGGAGGGCTCTTGTGACAGCGCAGGGGAGGCTGGTGGAGTGGGATGGTTCAGGACCAGCCCAGCCCCACAACCACTCTGAGTCCTTGTTTCTCCTCCACTGGGGGCTCTTTGAGGCAGGGGTGTATGGGCTGTGCCCATTGCCACCACCTACTTTCTCCCATGGATGGAATTGGGGTCCCCACTCTCAGAGGGACCCCCACATGCTTGCTGTCTCTGACCTGATCCCTACCCCCAGCTCGGCAGGAGTGCTGCTGACGTACCCCCTGCTCCTGGAGGGCGGTCTGGCCCTTCCCTGCCCCCCCCCCAGGCTCATTTAAACTTTGCACCCCCTCTCCGCCCCCTCACCTGGCAGCTCCCTAGTGCTGAAGCCCAG